GCCACCGAAGTCGGTGTTTCAAGATGGTGACACCAATTGAGTTATCATCTCTGTGCCCGAACACACGATGCCGAACCTCTGCATTACTGACATGGTGTTGCCACTGAATGTCAGCAATCCTTCGGAGACAGCGATGATCAAACACAGAGAGTCGTCTAACGTCCTCAACTCGGAGAGGCCAGGTTTCACAAGCATAGAGCAAAACTGCTCTCATCGACGCGTTGTAGATCCGGCCTTTTACAGCCAGACTGACATCACGAAGGCGCCAAAGGTGGCCCAGATTGGCATAAGCCGCTCTGGCTTTCATTATTCGTGCATTGATCTCATCACTCACACCCCCACCAGCACTTATGCAGCTACCCAGATACACGAACTTCTCAACTACGTCTATCTGCTCACCATCCAGGGTGAGTACAGGATTGGGATCCTGCCAGTCTTGTAGAAGTACTTTGCACTTCGAAGGTGCAAAGCACATACCATACCTACGGACATTGATTGCCAACTGATTAAGTGCGGATTGCATGCCTTGGGCATTATCGCACAGTAAGACAATATCGTCCGCATACTCAAGGTCGAGAAGTCTTTCTCCAGGCAACAGATCCACACCACCATTACTTACATTCATCAGAGCTGTTTCCAGAATGTCATCGATGGCAAAGTTGAAGAGGAATGGTGAGATTGGGCAACCCTGCCTAACCCCACTGCTCGAATGGAACAATGGAGAGAGGTGGTTGTATGCCCTCACTCTGCCTGAGGTGTTTTTATACAGGGCTTTTAGGATGTTAATAAACTTCTCAGGCACACCCTTCTTCAATAGACAATCCCAGAGAACAGTCCTATCCAACGAATCGAAGGCAGCCCTGATGTCAAGAAACACTACGATTGTTGGCCTTTGAAAAGTATGGCGGTGTTCTAACATTTGGCGGAGGGTGAAGATATGATCAATACATCCTCGATCTGAGAGAAACCCAGCCTGCTCCTCGCGAGTCAATCTTTCTCGGGTTTTGAACAACCTACGAAGAATGACGGAAGCCAATAGCTTGGACGCAATCGGAAGTAAACTTATCCCCCGATAGTTGTTACAAGAACGACGTGAACCCTTTTTAAAGATAGGGACAACTATCGACTCATTCCATGACGTTGGTACACTCTCTAGATCCCAAACCTTTGTAAACAACGTCGTCAATTCCTTAGTCAAAAAGTCACCACCATCTTTAAAAAGAGCCGGAGGTAAGTCATCTGGGCCAGGTGATTTGTAACGCTTCAAGAGTTGGAGTTCCTTGTGGACTTCCTCCTCATTTGGTGGATCAGTCGTCACCGGCCATGGAGGGCAGGACAGTCTGACCGATGTTGCCGGAGCAGCAGGCCAGTTGAACTGCCCTTCGAAAAATTCTGCCCATCGTCCAAGACGTCGATGGATGTTTGTGATTGGCATCCCATCATCCTCGCAGATTGTTTCACTCACACCAGACTTCTTGCTGCCAGTGGCTCGGATGAGTTGGAAGAGCTTCCGGTAGTTACCAGATGCAGCTGCTGCTTCCAGCTCATTAGCACGCATCGACCACCAGGCTTCTCGGTCCTTACGCAAGCTTTGCCCAATTTCCTTACGTAAAAACCTTCGTTTATGGTCAAACTCACGGTTACCCGGAGTAGACCGACGGGCTTCAATGAGTTGTAAGGAACCAGAAGAAACCCAGTGCTTAAAAGCGGGACGTTTCGCAAACCCACAACTGACTGTTCCCGCCATTTTCATGGCGTCATGCAATTGCAACCAATGGTCATCTATACTTTTCGGTGGAGTGGTAGCTAGCCTAGAGGCTAGCTCGGTTCGATACTTACTTGCAACAGAAGTTGCAACCAGCTTGCTAACATCAATCCGTTGATGGCGTTCACTTCGTTGTCCACTGAAAAGTAAGGCAAGATTGGCGCAGACCAAGGCATGGTCAGAGTCCAGATAGGTACTCCAAAAGGAGCGGCAGTCTTGTACACAACCACGCCAGCGGTAGCTGATCGCGATGTGATCAATCTGAGTCCAGGCTTGAGATGCAGAGGGAGGACGCCAGGTGGCACATCGGCGATGACTGTGCCGGAAGTTAGTGCTAGCCAGAAACAGGTTGTGGTCTGCGCAAAGTTGCAGTAGACGGTCCCCATTATCTGACCTGCGACCAACGAGTCCCCATCGGCCACCTAAACGACTCTCTTCTGTGCCTAGACGCCCGACCTGAGCATTCAAGTCTCCGGCTAGTACTACAATATCTGTCGAACGCACTTTCTGGAGAAGAACTGATAACTGGTGGTAAAACTCATCCTTGATTGCATCCGGGCTGCAATCTGTCGGGGCATAGGCGGAGATGACGAAAAGACATCGTTTCTCACGCCGATTTCTTCTCACTTTGATGGAACTTTCTAATCTAACAGCACATAACCGACTGTTAATGGGGATCTGATCGACTAGTGCTGCCTCAGCTCTAGCGCTTAGTGCGACACCAACGCCAGCAAAACCAGACGAAGATGCCACAGGGTCCCCGGATAAGCGCACGTAAAACAAGCTTTTCGAAGCGACAGATGGAGATCGAATTTGTAGTACTTCGCCAGAGTCTTGAATACGGGTCTCGGATAGACAACACACGTCGATATTAAGACTTTCCAAAGACATAGACAGCCCTATCTGTTGTCCGACCTGCATAAATGTGCGAACGTTGAAGGCAGCCAGTTTGAATGGTGCACGTGGTTTCAGAAAATCTGCTTCAGTCCTCGTATTCGGTGGTAACATACAATTTTCAACCGGACAGTGACTCGAGAACGTTTAGATACAGTCGGAATTCCACCAAAGACGAGCCGCTGTATAAGTATGAAAGAAGGTGAATAATGTGGAAAATAATAATAATAATGATAATAATAACAATAATGACAATAATAGTAGTAATGATAATATTAGTATTAATAATGACAATAATTGAAGTGATCATAATTTGAATCAATTGATTGTTTTTCAAAGCGACAAAAGTAGTTTCCATAGACATAAACAGTTCATCATTTGTGTGTGGGCTGTGATACTGCCCGGGTGCCCAAACCGAAGCAGGTGGTTATCTTAGGGGGCCACTCCCCGAGCCTTTGACCTAAAGGTCTAACCCACAAGGCAGTGGAGCATCGTAAGGAGATGCAGTCCCATGGTAGCCGGTGACCAACGATTGGTTCATACGCCATTCGTTCCCGCAGGATACTGGAGCCCATGTGCACCATTGGTTTTGAATCCGGTTAAAGCGCCGGACATTCGCTTCTCGTCCTCTCATTTTCGTAAACAACACCCCCGCCACGAGAAGGCAATGAGTAGGACTTCCCTGGCAGAGGCTATATACGCGCGGCCGTGTGAGAGTATTTCGAGAGGGAGAGCGGACTCTCCCCACTCTCGGCCGTACCAGGGCATTCAGGGGGCCGTTCTAACTGACGTCTATAGTGTTTATTTATTTATTTGAACACATAAATATTGGTACAAGACAGCGCCAATATATATGCGCCACACTCTATAGTGTTTCATTTTGAACCTGTCACCTATTGGTTACAAGATAACTGTATTTTAGCCACTTATGAACCGCTCTCCAGAAGACAGTGTCCCAATATGTGCTATACATTAAAGTTGTTGTTACATCTTTCAGCTATTAAAATAAGTGATTTCTACCTCATTTGGTAAGCTTATTTCAACAGGTGGTTAAAAGAGCACGTTAGCATTTGACTCCAAAACACAGTATAATAAACGTTTGAAATGCCATCATTCGATAAGCACTAATATTGTTTAGATAAAGAGCACTTAACTTTTTTATTTATCAGAAGCAGAACAACGAAAAGTCCATGCAAAAAAATCTACCACTCCTCTTAATTAGGTCTAGATTTTTAAATGCTGTTTGTATGTCTTTAAGTAATAGGTTAAACATGTAAATGTTTTCGCTCTGTCAAGGAAGTCCTTACTGCCTTTTCGTGGTAGGGTTGTTGTTTACAGAATGGAGATGACGAAAAAACTATGTCCGATGCTTAAACTAAGTTAGTGAGTATGGCGGATGTACCTAAGGTAGTTATAAACTTGTGGTTCTGAATCAATGGTGCACATGGACTCTAGGGTCCTGTGGCAACAAGTGGGATATGAACCCATTCTTGATCACCGGCTACAATGGAATCGCTTTTCGTAACGTTGCTCCACTTCATGTTTATTAGACCTCTGGGTCAACACGTTCGTTTAGTGACCCCTAAGAAAATAACCTCTTTCGGTTTGCATACTCAGACAGTACTGCAGTCCATTTTATTTATTTATTTAAACACATAAACATTGATACAAAGAGACACCAAATAAATATACGCCACACAAGTCATTCGATTTGTGTGAGGGCTGGGATACTGCCTGAGTGCCTTGATCGAAACAGGTGGTTTTCTTAGAGAGCCACGCCTGGAGCCTTTGACCTGAAGGTCTAATTCACAAGGGAGTGGAGCAACGTCAGGAGATGCAGTCTCATGGTGGCCAGTGACCAACAATTGGTTAATACGCCATTTGTTCTTTCAGGATCCTGCAGCTCATGTGAACCATTGGTTTGGAATCAGAGTTTTCTAACTCCCCTAGGTGGATCCTCCGTATCCACCGACCCGGTTAAAGCACCGGACATTCGCTTTCTGTCCTCTCAATTTCGTAAAGAACACGCCCTCCGCGAGAAGGCAGTGAGTAGGACTTCCCTGTTAGTGGTTGTATGCACGTGGCCATGTGAGAGCATTTCGGCTGGGATAGTGGATTCTCCCCACTCTCGACGGTATCGTACCCAAATCCATTGATTTGTGTGGTGCATGTATATTTTGATGTCTCATTGTGCCAATGTTAATGTGTTTAAATAGATGAATACTTATATATATATATATATATATATATATATATATATATATATATATATATATATATATATATATATATATATATGTAAATCCAGCTATAAATCCTCAAATTTTAAATGAATTTATAGGCTACTCAACGAGCTGTTCGTGCAGAAGAAGAATCTGAAAATCTAGCCGGTGAATTAACAATTCTAGAAGGTTAGTGAGATAGACTTATGGATAAATTTCAGTTCATACATAATATATACATTTATTTACATTATTTTTACAGTCGAGATCATGAACTGATCTTAAATACATTATTACCACCAAATTTTATTATTATATCCATTGTTTGTATTCATTTAAAAAGTGACAAGACAATTTAGTGAAGAAAATTTTCGATGAGACTATAATTGATGGATGACCTTTTAGTGACGCTTAATTGGCCTTGAAAGTGTCCACCTAGTAAATAGGTCTAATTATGGGTTATAAACCTATGTGGGGAATAAGATTTTGGGTTTTCGTCACGAACTGACATCAAAACTATGGATGAGTGAATTTGTCGCCAAAATCCGAAACCTGTTATCTTACACCTGATTAGTTCTCCCATAAATTATAGTCTCACTAAATTTTCTTTTTAACGATATCATTTACGAAAACTGTAAAATCGTATTGATAGTCTATTGAAGATGATCACATCATACCATGTGTCAAAGAAAGTTGCTTAATAATCGAGAATTAAGGAGAGGTTATAATATTGAATCACTTGTGATTTCGATCGTTGTCTACTTGATGAATTTGAAAAGGGTGAAAAATCAATCAATAACATGAATGTGATAACAAATCATTAAAATTAGGAAGATCAAAAACATTGGAAGGATGTAATAACATCAAATTACCGTTTATGAAAATAAAGTGCACACAGAGTTTAGGTTTGAAAAAAAGTGGATTGCTAGCGTTTCTGTATTGCTCCTTTTGATGAATGTAATCGTCGACCTGTATAAATGATTTTACAGGACTTATCAGATACGGCTATGTGACCAAAGTTCACAAGATGTTCCACTATTGAACTGTTGATTTCATTACACTCACCTTTTGAAGGTCACACAGGTTAATGTTTAGATATGCGTTTAGAAAGCGTTCACTTTGTATGACCTATGCAATCTACTCCACAAGAACAAGTGAACTTATAAATACCTATATTCATTGTTTTTGAACTGATTGGTTCTTGAACCATTACTCTTTCGATTGTTAACCTAAACAAATACAAATTTGGATGCGCACTGCTGAGGAGTCCCATACTAGGACGAAACGGCCGTCCAGTGCTTCCAGGTTTTCCATGGTGGTCTAGCTTCAATTGACTCATGATTTCAACCTGTGAAATACAATTATATCAAATTGTCATGTTTCAGACATCATTAAAACAAAACTGATGGCTTGTTATTCCGATTTGAATCAATAACTGTAATGTATAGTTATATAACTTATTTCGCTATCTAGTTGATTACTATTATTGGTTGATTATCGTGTTGAATTGTTTCTTTGCAAGTTCGTCAACAATCATAAGCAACGTGGAATCTAAAAGATATGTGTATCGAATCAAGTTACTAAACCATGAGCACAGCGCTGATGAAATTATCAAGACAAATGCTGCATAGAGTAGTATATATAGCAACAGTATTACTGATAGTAGAAAAGATAAGACATACAATATGCTTTCAGAAAAAAAGTATGAATTTTTGGAATGAGAACGAAGTATATGTTCGTTTTGAAACTTAGAATTTAAGGGAAGATAGAAAGTAAATTCATCCATAGATTCCGACTGATTCTGAACTATTTTATTCCAAACCATTGGTTAGAGTAATCATGTTGACCACAACCAAGTAGTCAGCATCTGCTGACATGAATCAGTTCAATAGTTATTGACTTTATGGACTAATGACCTGTTCTGGTTTGCTCGCTTTTTTTCTAACTTACACATACATCAACAAATATCGCTTATCAAGGTAGGCGATATCAATAGTTTTCAGTGATTAGTTTTATCTAAAGATGATTTATGTCATGTATTGATCCTAACTTTGAATCCATTGAATACTATGGGGTACAATAGCTGTTTTCTTTTTACTACCAATGTTTAGACACTTTAGCTAATGGACGTTAATGATCTTAACATAGATTAAATTCAAGATTTCTAGCTCTTTTTGTAAGCGGACAATTTTCACACCACATTTTCAATTTTAATTAGTACACTCAGTATTGCGTCAGTCAGTCAGTCAGCTACAACGTAGGACCAGGCACATATGTGTATCGGTCCAGGTTGCCATACCGCATGGGCACAACAAGATGAACACCGGATTCACAGCAGTGGTTAGGTCAAAGGTGGTAATATATAAGAGAAAGATTGCATATAGAGATATAGTACAAGAAGAAAGAATTAGTTTGTAGAAAGAAAGATATGAAGCGATTTTAATCTCTTAGTTTAAGGGAAGACAGGGAGTGTATACACCGACGCCATTGTGATCGATTCTGAGCCATGTCACCCAGAGTCTCCAACCATTGGTTACGAAAGTCACGCGGACCCCAACCAAGTAGTCTGCATCAGTATTGCGTATCCATCATCAATTATGACCACTTCGTTCCAGACATTATTGAAATCTATCAATTATTATTTCATAGTCAATGATAAAAAGAGTCCCATGCTAAAACTTGAAACAATTAGTTATGTTGAGTTGTTTGGGGGATCGTGATCGGTGGCCAATGCTCCACCAGGGATGATAGGCCTTAGTAAGTAAGTGATTATGTTGTGCCCCAGTTCTCATGCGTTTTAAATAGTTCTCTACTTGATGTCATTTCATGACAATGTTTCATCCTTGTACCATGATTTAATTGGTAGAGCCTAGCATTTAATAAAATAGATAATTGTTAAGTTTCTCAAAAGTCCTTATATGCAATCTTTCTTTTACATATTACCACCTCTGAATTAACTACTTTTATGAATCCGGTGTTCATCTTGTTGTATTAATGAAGTATGGCAACTTGGACCGATGCATATATGTGCCTGGTCCTACGTTGTAGCTGACTGACTGAATGTTTCTGAAGCAATTTGAAAGGCTCTCCCGGTGTCCCACATTGTACGAACATTTCTTGTACCTAAATAAATGGTCGCTCTGGTTGTCAGAAGGGGCATCGGCCTCGTAACTTCCGAAGGAATTCGGCTTTCATCATGAGGTGTCATAATTCTTCTAAACGAAGACCTTTTGACTCCCGGGGCAGAGTTTAAAAGGTTTGAATAATTTTTTATGGTTAGCGTTTTTTTAGCGAGTTAGTTTTCTACGGGATGGGGACGCTAACCCCATGCCCAACCCTCCTCCTTTATCCGGGCTTGGGACCGGCAGTAGCCCTCGGAGGGACTTCAGGCGGAGTTGACTGATTGTTTACTTACTGATTAAGATGATAATACACTATTATTGTTAGATTAAGAGAAATAGAGGAACAATTGTCTTTATTCGTATTCTTCTCTTTTATTTTAATCTCTTAGACGAAGCAAATGAATGGAACGAGAAATCAAGTAATGTTCAAGAACAAATTAACATGGTTCGAATCACTATCAGTGAAGCTTAATTATTACTATCTACTACTACTACTATTAGATATAACTCGACCATACTCTCTACGACATCTTTTTGTTCCTATGCGCTGTTGTTAGGACATTTAATTGATTTTTTAAGAGTTAATTTAGTGTTTTTATGAATTTCGCTACTGATTTTTTTCCTATTTCTTTCGCGCACAATTTCATATCGTATTTTTTCTTTCTGTCTTCATTAAATACTTAATATTACTATTATTACTATTATTAGAAATGTAATTCGGTGCATTCGGAATAGTGTATACACATTCACATTCCTTGAATTATAAGCGACTCAATTCATTTCATTTAAGCATCATTAGTATTGATTCCAATATACACATTCTTGTTCTTTTATTTCTCTTCAGAAAAAGAGGTGTTTTTTGCTTTGTTTGTTCGTTCGTTTTTTTTTCTTTTTGCTTGTGAAAGATTGTTTTCTTTGTCACTCCATTTGTATTCACAACATTGTGTATGCCTTTGTTCAAGTGACAAGTAATGAATCTATTTAAACAATATTGATAACAATATAAAACGAAGCTTATATTGAACTTAGTGTTTTGCAATTAATCCATGTTATAGTTAGTATATATTACCCATATTTTTATCATTACTGTTTCTTTTAGCTGCACTCCATCGAATAATAATATTGAATAAAGCCAATAATAATGAATATTGTTGACTAGTGGAAAGTGAGTTGCTTAGGAAGTAACATTTTTCAAACTCGTCAGCTGGATGTATCTACATCTCAAAGTTGATGTTTACTCTTGGACTCGAACCTAGTACCGTTCGCTTGAAACACCATCACGTTGTCCACTTAGCTACTGAGTCCCGATTACCACTTGCTTATGCAATGGGGTGAAGTTTAAAGTTATTTGGTATTGTTTGTTTGAATTTTCCCATCGATGTTTAGCATTGCAATTGATCAGTCTTTATTGGCATATGTGCATCCTGTACGGATTTCCTCCATATTGTTTATAATGCTTATGAATTAAGGTAATCTGCACAGCATGCACGTATGAAAAACTGATCAATTATAGTGCTAAACATCAATGGGAAAATTCAAGCAAACAATACCGAATGAATTAAAACTTCACCCCATTGCACAAGCAAGCGGCTATCAGGACTCCAGTAACTAAGTGGATAACGTGATGGCGTTTGAGGCGAACGGTACTGGGTTGGACATCAACTCTGCGCTGCCGTTACATCCAGATTACAAGTTCCGAATAGAACGAAACATGCCTCTTGGATTCCACTGGTAGCCACCAACCATCTTTGATTAAGCTATTCTCGTGTGTGGATAACCATTCTTTTTCAATGTTCAATGAATGTCAATATCTAGCATTTCCAAACACTTTTCTGTTCATTTAGTAAGTCAATGCTGCATATGAGAGCATGATATTTACAAGGAATTTCATTTTAGTCACCTAAAGCTATCTATATATGTGATTCCATAAACACGACGCTGTAGCGCATCCCCACTTGCTGGATGAAAAAGTAAATAAAGTGAAGTTAGAGCTTGAAATGAAATGCTCAATGAGAATCATGCTTTCAGATACATCATTGACTCACTAATTCAAGAGAAAAACACTTCATACCGCTCACAAATTGAACAACGAGAAGCGAATGCATCACAGATACATATCGTATCCAAATGAGGTAGACACGAGTTACTCTGAGTTTTGCTTCATACTGATAATTAGTTTAAACAGTTTCATTAGTTAATTTATTTTGTTGATTAGACCGAAATCAGTATGATTCATTTATTCATTTTTCTATTGTAATTTTGGGTTGACTTCATCATGTATTTAAGTGAGGTGAGGGTTTCGCTTCATAAAAAATCTTACCATTTTACTGTTCAGGTGTTGTCTTCTAGCATTCACATTGTTCCATGTGATATAAGTTACTGAAAGTAACGATTGTATTTGTTGTCTATTCAAGTTTTTATCAATGAAAGCCTGTTTTTACTATGGTACTAACACATTCGCTCCCAAATGCCCTGGTACTGCCGAGAGTGGGGAGAGTCCGCTCTCCCTCTCGAAATGCTCTCACATTGGCTACGTGTATATAGCCTCTGCCAGGGAAGTCCTACTCACTGCCTTCTCGTGGCACCGGTGTTTGCGAAAATGAGAGGAAGAAAAGCGAATGTCCGGCGCTTTAATCGGATTCTAAATCAATAGTGCACATGGGCTCCAGTATCCTGCGGGGACAAATAGCGTATGAACCAATTGTTGGTCACCGGCTTCCATGGGACTGCATCTCCTTACGATGCTCCACTGCCTTTTGGGTCAGACCTTCATGTCGAAGGCTCGGGGTGTGGCCCCCTAAGAAAACCACCTGTTTCGGTTTGGGCACCCGGGCAGTATCACAGCCCTCACACATATCGAATGAGATTTGTGTGGCGCATATGTATTTGGTGCCTCTTTGTACCCATATCTATGTGTTGAAATAAATAAAAAAATTGAGATACGTGTAATTCTTTAGATTGTCAACTTAAATCGATATCTATACGAATATGATTAACAATATATAAATGTTCTTAATAAGTATATGTGAACATTACCACCATTGAATTAACTATTCCTAAGAATTTGATGTTGGTCTTGTTGTGCTAATGAGGTATGACTACTTGAACCTATGTACATATGTGCCTGGTCCTGCGTTGTAGCTAACTGACTGATATATATGATCAGATTGTTCGAAATGTATTACACCAATATATCATCATATAGTTTTGATAAACTTCGTCTTCTTATTATTATCGAAATCCTGGGACCTTTCGAGTAAGTAACGCAGTTGTTAGGAAACGGGTAGTAGGTAAGGATGGCAAATCAAATGATGACGTAGTGCAACTTGATCAGTTGAGATGGCTGGGACACGTGTTACGTATGCTCAACTACCGACTACCTCGACGTGCTATGTTCAGTGGTATAGGAGTAGATTGGAAGAAAGTAAGGGGAGGCCACACCAAAACATGGCAGAAGTTCATGAAGTGACTGACAAGTGGATTGAGTCATGTTGGTAGGTGTAGACTACCTGATTGGGGACCGCGAGATGATAGCACTCGATGATTAAAGACGTTGAATGACATGACTCAAAATCGTTTGCAATGACGCAGATGTATCCACTCTTTGTGTTTTCCCAAATTCTAATCTTCTGAATTCTTGATGTCCTTTATTTTGTTTCCAAATTTATTTCACTGGATTATACTCTTTGAATATCTTCAAACCCTAATCTTTCCGATTACTGCTTATACTCTTACTACCTCCACCACTATGGGATTTGAATCGACAACTGCATCTCTGTGCTAATGTGGTATGGCAACTCGAACTGATGTACGTACGTACGTACGAAGTTCTAAGTTGTTACTGACTGACTGACTGTTTTCAGTTACACAGAAAGTACAGTTTTTTGATTATCATATAAGTTATAATTATGTTTCAATAACCCTGAAATACAACAATTTATTCAAGTAAACTATCACTTGCAAACCATATTTTAACTTGATTCCATGCCGAAATTACATCACTGTTACAGTAAAATCAATCAAGTAAACGGAGAATAAAATAACATGAAATACAACTCTGTTGAAATGTCTTTTCTTTTTTCTAATGTCAAGAGAGAAAGGAAATCGTCGTTGTATTCTAAAAAATGACCATCATAATCATTGAACATCTATCTATATGACGAAATCAATCAGTCATTATAATAATCTAGTTGAATTTGTTCACAATAATAATGAGAACAGATTTAAAAGACTGAATACTATAATGAACTTATATCAAGCAAATGTATTTCTGTTACTATGCATTAATATTTATGTATATCTAAAGATATTAGAAGGAAGAAATATGGAATTCTAATTAAAATGGTAAATAAAGAAGTCAAAACAATGAAGCTATAAAAGACAACACATAATTCATTGTAAAATATCACATATAATTCATACTACTTAATTATGATAATAAGTAATATAAATATAGTGGAAAGTATTTTTTTATCGCGAAAATTTGGAAATCATGATAAAATTTTAGTTTGATAAATTATTTTATGATAAATTCAATTGAAGTTTAAAATATTTTTGCTAATATAGATTGACTATTTGGTGTTAATGAAGGTATTGATATATTATTATCTTGAAGTAATTGTTCCAATTCATAAATACGTTTCAATGAAATTTGATGAGCTTCTTTTAATGATTTCATATTTCTTTCATGTGTAGCAGTAACAGAAACAATGATGGCTAAAAAAAAGGCGATACAGTGTATTGATATAAAAGGAAAATAGAGAATTTGGTTTATGATCTTATATTAAACAGAATAAGATTCATAGTTCTAAAACCACTTTTCTAAATATCAACAAAATTTTGGCATATGAAGTTGTTTTTGATTTCAGGAAATATTTTATTATTGATAATTTAGTTGTTACTGAAATTGATATTCAATGAAGTGGAAGAAAACCATGGATCTACATTTAGTACTAATTGGTACTCGTCCCCCCTATCAGGGTGTACTTAAAATCTTCCGAGAACTGATGCTATATGGATCACAAATTGTCATAGCCTAAGATGTTTTAGATTGAAATCACGAACCGATTGATGTTAGACCACCATTGAAAACCTAGAAGCACTGGATGTACGTTTCTTTATATTGTGGGACTCTTCAGCAGTGCTCATTCACGATCCCGATCGCGGGATCCGGACCCAGGGCCTTCAGTCTGGCACACGAATGCTTAACCTCTAAAATATTACAATATATTATAATTGAAGTAATTGATGGTTTAAGCTGTTTATGACTAGTTAGTCCTCTTAGTCATGAATCTCTTTGTAATCATATTTTATGATTGTAGACCTCAGTTAATATAAATTAAAGTCGATTTCACCGCAACACAGTTATTTTTTCTGTTTTTTTTCCTTTCAAATCTTAAGTATTGAAATTATTTCACACCTTTAATTTATTAATTCCATTTGCTCTTTTCGGATTATACTCATCATTTTTACAAGCAATGATATAGATATTACATTAGTTCCTTTATTTTGCCTTATTAATTTCTTGTGACTATGGGCTAATGAAGATCCTGACGAAATTTGCCCAAGTATACTTTTGATGAGGTTTTACTAGATTCTTTTTGTCTGACTGAATATATTTTAGTGTTGTTCAATATCATATTGTTTTGTACAGACTACAATTGGAACCTCGATTAATAAATTCTAACATCAATCGGTTCATGATCTCAATCAAAAAACTTAATAATCTGAATAACCCCGTAATGATAATTACTATATGCTCACTAGTGACTAGCTTCGTAGGGAACGCTCGGAGTTCTAGTGAGAAGCCATGACCAGCGAAGCTAATCCGCGTCAGGTAGAGATAGGTATCTACCTTAGTACAATAGAAGATGATTGCGCAATGTCGTGGATTGATTGAGGTTAGATATAAACACCTTTGCATGTTGACCACCTCAATGGTTTAGAGGTTAAGCATTCACGCATGAGACCCTAGGTGCTGGGTTCGAGTCCCACGTGAAGGGTCTTGGATACGCAATATTGACTAGTCCAATACTAGAACGAAACGACCATCCAGTGCTTTCAATTTCCTCATGGTGGTCTAGCTTTATTTGACTTATAAATTCAAGTATTAAATCAATCAGTTAGCTACAGCGTAGGACCAGGCACATATATGCATCAGTCCAGGTTGCCATACCGCATTAGTACAGTAAGACGAACACCGGATTCATAGGAGTGGTTAAGTCAATGGTGGTAATATATAAACGAACGATTGCATTTTAGGAAGTAGTACAGGAAGAAAGAATTAGTGGATAGAAAGAACGACATGAAGCGATTTTAATCTCTTAGTTTAAGGGAAGACAGAGAGTGTATACACCGACTCCATTGTGATCGATTCTGAGCCATGTCACCCAGAGTCTACAACCATTGGTTGCGATAGTCACTCGGACCCCAACCAAGTAGTCTGCATTTCCCAACATGGCTCAGACTAGAAGTTAGTGACTCCAAGCCCTGATGCTACGTTTTGGTTTGACCTCCCTTAACTTTCTACCAACCATCTCCAATACCGGTTAGCATTGCACGTCGTAGCAATCGGTGTTCAGCCATACGTAACGCGTGGCCAACCATCTTAGTCGACGAAGATTTACAACCTCATCAACTGATTTACCATCATTCCCTAATATCATGTGTCTAACCTCACTATTAATTGCCCGGTGATCCCAGCAGACGCTAGCTATATTTCTAAGGCATCTACGGTCAAATATTAATAGCTTACGAGTATCTTCTACTATTAATGACCATGTTTCGCTGCCGTAAATTAAAACAGAATGGACTGCCACGCAGTATACTCGTCCTTTTATTGATAGACGGATATCTCGCCTTCGCCATAGATAATGTAAGTTGGCAAAAGCCAAACGAGCTTTTTGATTCCTTGCTGAGATTTCATCAGATACCAACCCATTGAAGCTGATTTGTAGTTAAGACATCTAAACAGTTTACCAACTTTAATAATAAACAAATAAAGAAACAAAACAAAAACAAACTTACAATTCACAATACGTATTACACGCCATAGACGAAATAATACTAATAAACCAGCAGCATCAGCAATTGTTGTATGCAATGTTTGTTCTAGATTATCATCTATTGAATATTCATTCATAGTTATATTCATTTTAGTTTCTATAATATGTCGATGGATATTATATGTATCTACTGTAAAACTAATTATACATACGAATACATCTAATAATTCAATCCATTGATATTGATAAAATTGATAACCAAATGTCCATAATTTAATTGGAATTTCAATAAGAAATAATAAAATGATTGTATAACTAATACATTCAAATATAAATGAAGTGAAATTAAGACGATAACGTAATGGGCATGGCTATGAAAAATAATTATCGGGAAAAAAAAGGGGAGAAAGGAGGGGGGAGGGAAAGAAAAACCAAAAAAAAAAAGGAAAAGAGGTCAGTTTTAATGTTCGTTTAAATTATTGTTATGTAATAGAATTACAAAAAAAATTTTATATTCAGATGAATATGCAGTATGTTTTAGTTTTGAACGTTTTAAACGTTATTTAAATGGTTAAGATCATGAGTCAACTGAAGCTAGACCACTATGGAAAATGTGGAAGCACTGGACAACCGTTTTGTCCGATTGTGGGACTCCTTAGCAGTGCTCATTCACGATTTCGCCCCCTGTGAGATTCGAACCCAGGACCTACTGGTTTCACGCGCGACTACTGAGCTGGCATCCAACGGTGTTAATGTCTAACTTCAACTAATTGAGCGACACATTCACCATTGTCTTCAGTGAGGTACTATCTCACAATGTTAAACAAGTCTGAATTATAAAGATAAGTTAAATTTTCTTGATGAATTAGCATTGTACATACTGGTTGATGTAGGTAACTTACATAAAACTATCATTAGATTTTATATTTGAACTGTTGTTGCTACCTTGATGTGTTGGTCGAGTTTGTCTATAGGAATGAACTAATAGACCTATACTAGCTGGAACAATCGTTTCTTAAGGACCCGTCATGTCAGATAGGTCGGTTGAAGAGCGGTGAGACTAAAGGCAACAAACTCAAGGTCTGAAGGCGAAGGCGTACTGCTGAATGTACAGAGGTGTGACAGCAGTGAGCTGTTTCCTTCAGACAGCCAGTATAGCAGCGATGTTGCCTTCCCACAAGGAGGGGTGGGGTTAGAAAAGATCGACCGTAAAAATGCACATCTCGCCTTATCCCACGGATATCCGTCTCCGGCGGTAAGGTCTCAACAAGTACGGAGCTAACACGAAAATCACCTATAGAAAGGTCGTGTGTGACCGACCTCAAGCAGTTGTCCCTTGGGTACTGTGCTCACGCTCCCAGGTCACTAAGATCACCTCTAACCCAATTTCCTTTTCAGGTACTTCTAGAAGAACAGTTCAACAGTGTGGACAACCGGGAAGTGATAACCGCTCTCATAACTCTAGCAGCACTCAAGATCACTATATTCAAAACCAATCTCCCTTCAATTGACGAAGTAAAATACATTGATCTTGACAAACAAATTTATGATAATAGTCAGCACTCAGCGATCAGTCAATTGTATAAAGGAATCCTCGTGAAACTGTACGAAAATCTTTCAGAGGGTTAATATGAATATACACCAATTTAATAGTTCACATTCTGGACTGTTAAGCAATATCTATAAATTGAATCATTCAATAATATACTGAAACTTGTTTGATTGTATCTGATGATATTTTAAACTTCTTCGACTTTGGTGGAGTTTTGTTCTCTGAGCTGGATGGTTTGGTCGTGAAGCTTTCATCGTTCTTCTGAACGACATCATCAGCACAAACTTCAGATAGAAGTGAAGTGTTTGAATTTCTCCATATGTGTCTCAAAGCTTGTTCTGTGCACCTCGACGTTGATTGGTTCTTATTGACCACCAAAATCATCCACCTGAGCTACAAATCTTCTCCACCATCTCAAACTTCTTCGACACTACGGCGTGCCTCAGAAGAGAGTCAATATCATACGGAATCCCTATGATAGATTAAACTGCAAAATCGTGCATGGAGGACAGCTTACAGACTCGTTCGAAGTAAAGACTGGTATCAGGCAAGGTTTCTTACTCTCACTCTTTCTCTTTCTCCTACTAATTGACTGGATCATGAAGACGTCAACATCTGAGTGGAAGCACTGGATACAATGGACAGCTAAGATACAGCTGGATGACTTCGCAGTTGATCTTGCTCTTCTATCACACACGCAAAAACAAATGCAGGAGAAAACGACCACGTCAAAGGAGAAAAGGAAGACCAAAGTAGAACACATTACGTTGAGAAATGGATACCGACATCAGAAGAATGAAACAACACTTGGATAGAACTAAAAAGGAACGTTCAGCACAGGATGTACTGTAGAATACTGATCGACTGTCTATACTACTTTGCGGAGTAACAGGTTCAAGTAAGTAAGTAAATAATTAAAATTTCATTTTCATATTAATAAACTATAATTAACAACTAAAATTCATTATGTATTTATGTATTTTTAATTTCTCATCTTTAATCTTCATCTAACATTGTTTAAAGTAAACCCTGAACATTTCGTGTTGCCATTCGAAATTCAATAATAAACGGCTAGATATTAAAACAAATTCGTGCATTAAAATTTTTATTCAATATTGACCTATATTTTCAGGATTCAAACTGTGTGCGTGTGCGTGCGTGTGTGCGCGTGTGTGTGTGTGCGTTTCTGCTTTCCCGTTATTGTTGCTGTTATTATTGTTATTCCTGTTTTATTCAAGTTAATTAAAGATTAAAAACAGATTAGATAAATCTAGAAAGAAGAATTAAATAAATGAGATAACGAAAAAAACGAGAAAAGAAAAGAAAAGTAAAGTAAAGAAAAAAAGAAAAGAAAAAAGAATCACAAAAAAGAATAAAGAAAACGAAAAAGAAAAAAATGTTGACCGAAAAACTAATTAATTAAAGAAAAATAGAATTTTTTTTTCTTTCCTGAATTAGTTCTTTTCTCATTTTGTTTTGTTTTGTATTACATCATCACCTTAATTTTCTATTAAATAGAAAACGGTTTTTAATATAAAGATTAATAATAATGATAAGTTATGAGTACAAATATGAGTTTATTATTATTATTATTAGTAGTAGTAGTAATTCATTATTATCACTATTATTATTATTACCATTACTATTATTATTACTATTATTATTACTGTCATTATTAGTATTAGTATTATTATTATTACTGTTATCATTAGTAATAGTATTGTTATTATTATTATCATTATTAATTCATTATTATCACTATTATTATTACTATTATTATTAATATTATTAATATTATTATTAATATTATTACCGTTATTATTAGTATCAGTATTGTTATTATTATTATTACTGTTATTATTATTATTATTATTATTATTATTATTATTATTATTATTATTATTATTATTATTATTATTATTATTATGAATCACCTAGATATTTGAACTAATAACACAGATTAATATAAATGAGGAATGTTTCATTAACTGGAGAATTTTTTTTGTTTCTTTCCTTTTCTTCTAATCTGAGTTCATATGAATGTTTAAAAGAAGAGAAAAGAAAAATAATGAAAATTTAATGAAAACATAAAAACTGAAATGAAAATATTTGGGTATTTTTCTTTTTCAGAATGAGTTTTGTGGAGATTTTAGTAAATTTCACTGCTTGAAATCATGAGTCAATTGAAGCTAGACCACGATTGAAAACCTGGAAGCACTGGACGGTCGTTTCGTCCTAGTATGGGACTTCTCAGCAACGCGCATCCACGACCTCGCCCCCCGCAGGATTCGGACCCAGGACCTGCTGGCTTCGCGCGCGAGCACTTAACCTCTAGACCACTGAGCCGGCATCCAACGGTGTTAATGTCTAACTTCAACCAATCCACGAAGTTGCGCCACCGAACACCATTGTCGTTCATGGATGCGCACTGCTGAGGAGTCCCATACTGGGACGAAACGACCGTCCAGTGCTTCCAAGTTTTCAATGGTGGTCTAGCTTCAACTGACTCATGATTTCAACCTGTGAAATTTTTCTTTTTGTTGTTGATAAATCTTATCTTATTTAATTTAAATAAGATTTTTATATTCAAAAATAGATATTCTTAATTCATATAGTAGACGTTATAATGAAATATAGCAGAAGATGACCAGTGTAACATCAGTTTCAGCAACAGTGAGTCTCAACATACGTAAAGGGAAATGTAAAATTCTTTGATGCAACACAACATGTAACAGTCGAATCACACTTGATGGAGAATATTTGCAAGATGTAAAAACTTCTACATATTTGAGTAGCATCACTGGTGAACACGGTGAATCTGATGCAGATGTGAAGGAGTGACTCGGCAAATTTACAATTGAAAAATATCTGGATCTCAAAACAACTGTCAAGCAAAACCAACTTCAGAACATTTCAATACAAATGTAGAAATAGTTCGATTGTGTTGGGTGGAAACTTTGAGAACTACGAAAGTTATCAACCAGAAGACACACGTGTTTATTAACAGTTGTCTACGCAAAAAATTCTTTGGATCCGTTGACCAAACACGATCAGTAACAACCTACTATGGGAGAGGACAAACCAAATCTCAGAGGAGTAAGAAATCAACAAGAAGCACTGGAAGTGGATAGGATACACATTGAGGAAATCAGTCGACTGCGTCACAAGGCAAGCCCACACTAGAAATCCCCAACACCAAAGAACACATTACGTCGAGAAATGGACACAGACATGAGAAGATTGAACAAAAAATGAATAGAACTAAAAAGAAAAGTCAAGGATTTCGTTAATTTCGTCTTACTGTACCAGTGTGACGTAACAATTTAGACCGATTTATATTTGTGTTGACCTTTATACTCATTATGAATGATTGGATTGTTTACTACATTGTATAACCGATATTTAGACATTACATTTATATTAGTATTATTTCAATGGCATTTAACTTAACAAATGTCCTATATATTTATATGATAAGTGATACTACAAACGAATTACATATAAAACAAATGATTAGTGGAGACTACTTAAGTGCATAAACTATTAATAAAGATTCGACTTTATTTTTTTAATTAAAGAGACCTATATTGTTGGTCTAATATATAATCCCCCCTTTTTTTCTAAGATACATATCTATGTTTATGGATGAGTTGTGCATAAATTATCGGTTCTGTAGGCCCATGAAAGTTTCCTACTTACTTTTGGGTCGTTTCCAATCAAACATCAGGCTTACACATACACAGATAAGAAGCCTGTATATCGTGTATTAGACTAGGATGATCACGCAATATAAAAATAAATTGTGTCGATTATGATGATGATGATAATAATGTTCATATTTTATGTTTCAATACAGGAAAATCATTATCAACCTAAAAATCCTAAAATGTCAAACGAAATTGTTCGTTGTTTTAAATGATATGAATTTATTTCAAAAGTTTGAATTTGTCGTTTTCGCGCCAAAAGCGCTCATTTTTATCTTTTGATTGTATTTTCCAGTTGGAAAGACCGTAAATGTCATTAGTTTGTTACTTCTTTTATTATGCTATTTTGTGACGTTTCTTAAGGATCTTATTATCCTATATATATATATATATATATATATATATATATATATATATATATATATATATATTTATATATATATATATATATATATATATATATGTTTGTTTTGTTAGCGCTTCTAGCTGATTGTGGAGTATACCTTTCCCTCATCTGAGTATGGTCTTCTCTTTCTAGTTAGTAGGGTTGGAACGCATCGAAATAGTTTAGCTTGTCTTGTCGTTGTGTCAATGATTCTTTGTTTCGTTCACAGATTTAGGCAATTTCGTAATCTTTTCAAACAAAGCACCAACTCACTTTGTCAATGATAAAAATGCAATACAAAACAACGTATTAAAATTATTAAGATCATGAACTTTGATGCTCAATGAAAAGTTTACAACCTTTCGCTATACGTGATACAAAAAGGCACAATCAGCGACATCATGGTGGCTGGCAATATGCATTGAAACGAATGAACATTAATCAAATGTGGATTACCGAACTCCTAACATCTAACCGGTCGTCATTCAAAATTTATCGTCACAATAGATCAAGGTATAAGAAAAGGAAACTTGTTGAAATACTTTATGCTGAGAATTCTATGTTGTACCAAAAATATAACGTTGAATAAAGCTTCTAATAATAAAAAAAGAAATAATAAAACTAAGAAGCACTGAACTAGCCTTTCGTTCTACTGTAATACTCTTCAGAATGACCCACTCAGAATTTCATGACAATGAGTCGAATACAGAACTTTCGATCTGATCGTGAATGAATAACCTTCAGATAACTGAGAAGTAATTCTATGATGTATATGTCTAATTTTAATCATTTCACGACCCTGCTAAACTATATTCAATTGACTTAAGTGTGTTATTGCTTCAAATCCGGACATGACTCAACTCTACTTGTCATAACGTCTCACTCAGTTGGTTTATGATCTTAGTAACATTTAACAATCTATGTAAATCTCCATAGTGATATTAAAAATTACTTACCTTTAATTTTAATGATTCAATTTCTAATAGAAGCATACATATAACAAGTATTCCATCTAATGCGCATAATCCAACAATAATCATGTGAAATAATTTACAATCTAATATTCTACTAAATATTAGTTTATATTTCTCAGTACAACTCTGTATTGTGTTGATGGTTACAGTTGGGGTCGTAGTTGTTGGTGGTGGTGGTGGCGGTGGTGTTGGTGGTGGCGTTGGTGTTAATATAGTTTCAATTGGGATTTCAATGATCTCATTCACAGGTAATAATAAACCATTTGTAACATCAGATTGACATTGATTTGATTCGGTACTAATTTGTCTACGTTTATGTTTCATGGTGTTTTCTTTTTTCTTTTTTGTAAAAAAGTTCTGAGAGAAAAAAATAATGAAAAAAACCGGTATTTGAAGATAATGATGATTATTGAAATTGGTGAAAAAGAAATGTTAATTAGCCAGGTGAATAATTGTAAATATTCTGTAGATAGGTGTACATAGATAGGGTGTATGACAATTGTATACATTCAGTTCGGATTATGGATGATGTTTGTTTCCAAGACAAATTGGTCATTATTGATGGTGGCCTGATTGAATATCTGGGCAACCTATTCATGTCATCTAGATATTTCAAAAAGTTATCTAATTTCGTTTGTTTGCTTGTTTTAATACATTATTATGTCTATGATTTACATAAGTGATTCAGGTGCGTTACTGAAAAATGTACAACCTTTCGTTGTACAAATTACAAAAGACTCAATCAGAGATATCGGTGTTGCTGATAATATGCAACGAAAAGAATATACATTATTCAGACGTTGATTCCTGAGCTGCTAATATCCAACTGGCGACTATTCAATAATAATCGTAAGGATCGATCAAGAAATAAGAAAAAGAAACTTTTCGAAATACTTTGTTCTGAGAATTTTCTATTGCACCAAGAGTATAATAATGAATAAAGCTAATAATGATAATAATAATTTCATTAGTTGAAATCATGAGTCAATTGAAGCTAGAACACTATGGAAAACCTGGAAGCATTGGACTACCGTATCGTTCTATTGTTGTACTCCTCAGCAGTGTACATTCACGATCCCGTCCTCCCCACGCCTCGCGAGCGCTTAACCATTAGATCACTGGGCCGGCATCCAACACTGTTAATGTCTAACTTCAATCCCAAACCTCCTTTTTAAAAAATGTGCTGACGTCCTATGTTATCCATTCACGACTATCTTTAATAGACCCTTCTCATCTAATATCATACCGAAAATGTGGAGAAGGATGAAGATAATCCCTGTATCCAAGAAAGTATCTGGTGATAAGAATACGAAATTTAGACCTATTGCAATAACTTCATCCTACCTCAAAACAATAGAAAAATTATTAATACTTCCACTTCAGCTTGGGATAAAAGAGCATATTGATCCATATCAGTTTGCTTACAGACGCGAAAGAAGCACTTAAGATGCTGTTGCTGTTCTGCATCACAACATAGTGTTCAACTTAGAAAAGGGCAAGAAGTATGTTCGATGCGCTTTTCTGGACTATACTTCAGCTTTTGATTCTATACCAAGACAACTTTTAATTAACAACTGGCTATGCTCCTACCTCTCGGAAAGAGAACAGTACACTGTATTTGGAGGAAAGTGTTCAGAGTCTCTACTGTCTCATGAAGGTGTACCACAAGGAGCTGTTCTTTCACCTCTTTTTTTTTCTGTTTTTTTTGCATGATCTGCCATCTTCCACAGAAAACACTTGTGAAATATGCGGATGATTTCACTGTATGTATGTCTATCTCTTCCTCTTTACATCCCATAGAAATGAATGAATTTTTGTCTCGTATTGATAGGTTTTCCATGGTAGTCTACTCATGAATTCAACTAAATACCTTAAAGCATAACTAATATCAGTAAAAGCACGATCACAGAATTAAAACATTTTGAGATCATTCAAATTGATAAAAGAAAAAAACAACCCGGAATTCCTCTCACATGATTATTTTCTTGAAAAAATTGATGAATTGTTGACCTTTATAAGCAGAGATGGATGTTGACTAACAGAATAATCCATGACGCGCATTTCGCCTTATTTGGGACTCATCAGCTGGATCAGACGAGACTCACTTTATTGCATTCCTAAATATCAATGGAAAGATTCAATCAACCGATGTAAAAAGCCAATTAAAACCGCACTCCATTGCACAAGCTAGTGGCTATCTGGACTCAGTATCTAAATGGGTAAGGAACTGGTGTTTGAAGCGAATGATACTGAGTTATGAATCCCAGAGTGAACATCACTTCTGAGATGTAAATACATCCAGTTGATTATTCGCAAATAGGACCAAACGTTGGTTCTAGATTCTACTTCTAGTCACCATCCATTTTTGCTTATAATACTAGTAACTGAAGATAATATCAAGGCAATCCACACTGGATGCACATATGTCAATAAGATATTGATCAATTGTAATCTTAAACATCACCAGGGAGATTCAAACAATCGATACATCAATGAATTACTGACCTTTTTATTTAAATTATAACCATTAAACATGCAATATATAGATTTACAAAGAAAATATATTTGTATCCATATAAACCAGTTGGACTGACAGTGTTGAAGACAACCTCATTTGTTTTATATATACACTCCAAATACAATACATATTTATTTCCCTTTAAAGTTTTAATATTCCAGCCGGAATTTTGACAGATTCTCATACTTGTATGATAGCGATAAATGTATATCAACTTAGGAAGGCATTTATCAGACACAATACATTTATGTAAATGTATGTTAGTAAACTAGAAAGGAAGGCCCAGGACAGAGTTTGTTGGAAAATGCTGGGTTGGCGGCCTATGCTCCATTGGGATTAACAAGCGTAAGTAAGTAAAGTAAACAGTGGGACTATAATTTATGGACGACCTTTGAGTGTCACTAGATTGACCTTCAGAGTGTATACCTAATGACTAGGACCAAATGAGGGTTATAAGCCAGTGTGAGGAAATAGAATTATAATTTACAATTGATGATTAAGGTTATGAATCAGACTTAAGGCTTTCATCACGAACTGACATCAGCTAGAATGCCATGAATCTATTTAGTCAAATGGATGAGTTAATTTCGCTTCAAAATCCAAGACCTGTTATCTTATACGTGATTAGTTCGTTCATAGATTATAGTCTCATCAAGTAAATAAGTAACTAAGTAACCATTTCATTGACTTTTTTGAAAAACAAACAAACAAACATTCAAACATAGTTCAATAATAATTGATTTGTTAGTGAGTTGATAAGTCAAACAAATACAAATTATGTTTTTTTCCCTTCTATTTACAAATTGTTATGTTGGATAGAATTAGGTTACAAAAACTATTTAGTTTTTATATTACTATTATAACGTAGTTTTCATTTAATAGTTGGATTCATGAGTTAGTTGAAGCAAGACTACATGGAAAACCTGAAGAACTAGACGGCCGTTTTGTTCTAGTATGGAACACTTCAACAGTGCGCATACAGGTTTCTCATGATAGTTTAGCTTTAATTGACTGATGAACTCAACAACTAAATTACTACAGTCTTTACCAAAATCTCCTTCTGATTATAATCACCATGTACTCACTAAAGACTGGCTTCAAGCGTTATTTCCTGGAGTTCTAGTAAAACACGGTGACTAGTAGAGTTCAACCGGCCTGTTGTGAGATAGTAACTCACTGAAGACGTTGGTGGACGGTGGCGCAATTTCGTGGATTGGTTGGAGTTAAACATTAGCACTGTTGAATACCATCTCAGTGGTTTAGAGGTTAGCCGCTCGCGCGCGAGATACCTTTTCAAAAAACCCACATCATAACAAAAACTGATAAAACCATCCGTAAAGATTGAAAAGTCAGGTTGACATCCCTATCGGGTCATAATGCTAATTCAGAGCATGGAATTCGATAGAAATATTTCTTATTCACATAACACCTCCAAGCTAAATACTAAAGATTAAAGGTGATATCCTAATATTCAATATCATCCTTAGTCAAATGTACTAACACTTTACTTCTGATTGAAGTTTGTGCTAATAATGTCGTTCAGTCGGCAGCCACTTTATGTAGAACTTCCTTTATTAATATCTAATCTGATAAGGTTAAGAAACCTGCGAAATTTGGTCTTTTTTTAATAAAATATATTTCATCCTACAGAGTAAGACAACAAAGTCGATTTGCAGACTTGACTACTTGTAAACTTCAATCTCTGCCATAGTTCCTAAATTTAAGTAGTTTTGAAACGTCTACGTCTTTGTTTAAGTAAATTTGGAAGGTAACTAGTATTGGAATCCAGAGCGCATATTTTAGCCTAATTGGAACTGGTTGGATCGATGCCCCCGCATTTCAGGTAGCCATTTGAACTTTGTAATTCAGTGGATAATGTTTTCGATACTTGCAGCGAAAGGCACTGTGTTTGAGTCTCATTGTGGACATCAACACGCATTTATTTACACCCAGCCAATAAGTACTAAACAGGATGGAACACATATCCTCGATCCCACTATCAACCTTACTTAAATATTGTGACTCACTGGTAATATTAGAGGAACATACTAAGGATGCAAATACATCATACGTAATTCTAGTCCATACTACCAACTGGAATCTCTAAACTATTACAGAACAAAAAGAGAGGCATCTGTTTTATACATGAAAACACGAATAATTTTTAGTGATAATAGTTCAAGAAAAGTCCTAAACTATTTCACTATAAGATTTAAAGATATTATCCCAAGTAAAAATAGAGAAAACGTATTCATCTTGGGTCACTTCATATAATTGATAAATAGCACTGAAGAAAGAAGAATATTTCAGAAAATGACAGTTTTAAAATCATCATTTATTAAATCCACGTCATCTGTTACTTATAATTGGAAAACGAGGAACCTCCACAATCTTCACGATAAGAAGTAAAAACACAGAAGACTGGTACAAGTGAAGATTAATCAACGTGTTAGGGATGCAGAGGAATATACCAATAATTATCATGTTAAGTCTAACGGTGACCTTGGACTTTAAATGTACACTCCCTATTGGTCGATATTTTTTTCACTTGTTAAATGTTGTTTTCTATTTTATGGCACGATGTGGTCTGCTTGATTAGTATATAAACAGTGTGTTTGAAATATAATGGTTCATATCTCAGAGGCTAAGACTTGTGTTCTGGACTCGACTGGCTGGGCTAGACAGGGAAGCAGAGCCAATCGAGAATCTAGGTAGTCCGTACGTGTTTTACGTGTCACTGAATCGATCAATAAAACGCTGTGCATCAAACCTGCAATCCAACCATTACAACACAACCCAATACACGATAACCAATACAGTCAAAAATACACTCATTTCTATATATTGATCAATTAGAAATGTCAGAAAAAGGCATCAAATAGATATACACCACATAAATCATTCGATTTGTGTGAGGGCCAGGATACTGACCGGGTGCCCAATCCGAAGCAGTTGATTTTCTTAGGAGGTCACACCCGGAGCCTTTGAACTAAGGGTCTGATCCACAAAACAATGGAAAAACATAAGGAGATGCAGTTCTATGGTAGCCGGTGACCAACAATTGGTCCATACGCCAGTTACTTCAATCAGAATCCTGGAGCCCATATGAATCACTGGTTTGGAACCAGGGTTTCGTAACTCCCCTAGGTGGATTCTCCGTGTCTACCAACCCGTTTAAAGGGCTGGACATTCGCTTTTCATCGAGAAGGTAGTGAGTGGGACTTCCCTGGTAGTGGTTGTATGCACGTGGCTATGTGAGAGCATTTCGAGAGGGAGAATTGACTTTCCCCCACTCTCAGCCGTACCAGAGCATTCGGGGGCTAGTTTAAGACAATTTAATACAAGAATCTTATATTTTGAACTAACTTAACACTCAAATAAATCAATGTTGAACTGAATAAAATATCATACTGAAAACAAGAAATAAATATTACACTGGGTAATCATGACATTGTAAAGAATCAAAACAAGTTTAAAATGTAGTTTAGCCTTTTTTTATTCCGTCATGTCAGTTTCGTTATTGTTTTGTTTACTGATCAAGAAAATCTATAGTAAGGTCATGTCATATCATATTTTTTCTTGACGTTAAGGATAGCTTTGTTGTTATTAGGCTGTTATACATAAGGATTTAAACTGGTTTTTTTTCGATGCTTTTTAAATGTTAAACTACATAAGACTTAATAATGTATAACTTTTAGTTTAGTACTATTGTATTTCAAACTAAGCCCCTTTTCAGTATTCAACTTTAAAAGTGATGTAAAGCCAAATAAATGTTACTGGGTCCTAGTCAAATCATTCGGCAGTCGGGTCAGTGAATATCGAATAGTTTATTGATCTCCGTTAGAGTCAAGATTAACTAACGTGCATGCCATTCAGCAATGATTTCATTCTGTTCTTTTATCTAACTTTACCAATACACTTATTTCATAACGTTGTGTTTTTGTCATACAGTAATAAAAAAAAACTATAGCACCCGGATACAATGAAAAGGTAATGCACTTTAGATATGTGTAATTTCGACGTAAGTTGAGAGGTCACACCGCTCCTGTCCAACTTAGCTAAGCCCCAAATTATCGACACAGATTACAAACGTCGGTGATTTCCAGTGATAAAATAAAGGTTAATTATGAAAACTTCAAGAATATTTTGTGTTAATTAGTAGACAGAAAGTAATGCTTTTTATCACTCACCCAATCCATAAAAATCGAATCGATGGGATTCAATATAAACACGTAAAGAAACAACATTTTTTCAAAAAAAGCAGACTGTTGTTTCTTGAAAATTGATATGATCTAATTTGTACTTGAAATAGGACACAGTATAATGTTGATACTTTATGTCATTACAGCTCAAAAACAACCATTCCTACTCATTTTTACTAATGTGTTTAATAAATATGTGAACGAAACGGCGGTTCAGTGCTTTCAGGTTTTCCATAGTGATCTAGCTTCAATTGATTCATGATCTCAATTATTGAAATATGTGAACGATTGTTGTAAAAACTAGGGATTAGGTATGGCAACAAAATAATGATGGAATTATAGCAAAGAGATTCATTGATAGTTATCGTTGAATAAGCAGGCAGATTGTCAGGTTAAAGCAATC